CTTCAAATGGTCATTGGAATTACCATCAAACCCTTCCCATAATGCTTTGCAGTGTGTTTGCTTCCCTTATTTTTGTGTATTTTGGTGTTATCTGATGATTTTATAATAGAATAAAAAAACACAAGAAAAGGAAAGTAGTAAATAGAAAGGAGAGTCCTCACGATCCATGTAAAGACCAACCCCTTAAAACCATGAAGAACCCCATTGCTCCACCAGCATTGACTCCAATGAATGAAAATGAAAAATTTCTGTTGGGAAGTTATGAATTGAGAACAGTGAGATTGCCTTGGGATGTCAAGGTCTCCAGTAGTGTGTATTACAGGAGATGTGTCTCCAGTGGGATGGAAGTTTATGCTCCATCCTCACCCTCGGCCCTCCTCAACCTCCTCTGCCTTCGGCATGACAACTGGAATGGTCAAACTCATCCCATCCTCCTCCACGGTCACTTCTTTTGTGGCTTCCGCCTCCAGGTGAGACTCCATTTCTTCAGTCACTAGACTGCGGTCCACCAGCTCCTCTATGGCTGTAAGATCAGAGAGTAGATTTAGAGCTCCGTGTACCAGCCATTGCACACAATGCACTTACCGTAAAGACATATTGAGTGGGGGAGGGTAGATAGAAGTATGCAATTACCAATAGCAACCAACTATATTTCTCTTCCCCTCTTCACTGAAAGATTACTCCTGATTGCTTGCAATGTATTACCTCCATTGTGTTAGCTACACCAGCCTTTCTCACCCAGGGTGCCCAGGCACCCTGGGGTGCCTTGAAGTATCTTCAGGGGTGCCTTGGCAAAATTTCAAAAAATTGCCTAAAATTTGTATAGGTGGAACAAGCCTGCCTTTTAGTTACACAAAGTCATAGGTTTTCATTGCGCACCATTACGAACTTCTAGCCCCCAGCTTCCTGAAAACCAATGACATCATCAGTTGATAAGGAAGATGTCAGCTGCCTGCACAGCATCCTCGTTTGACCCTCCTTTCCCCTCTCCATCAGTGCTGGGGTCACATTAGCTCAGTGATGGAGAAAAACTGAAGGAGAAGAGAAACATTGGAATACTAGTCAGTACCAGTGTGAAGTGTATTTTCTTGGGAAGAATAAATCACCTCTAATGTTGGGTGTCCTACATGTGTGGATGTTGCTGCATTATATAAAACTATTAGAATCGTTTTTCACACTTTGGAATGGGGCGCCCTTTTAAAATTATAGACAGTCTTGAGGCACCCCATTTTAGAATGGGGTGCCTCAAGACTGTCCATAATTTTAAAGGGTGTCTTGGCTTAAAAAAGGTTGTGAAACACTGAGCTACAAAACGCCACATACACAGCACACACAGAACTGACAATGCTCATGTAATGTGTACATCCATGTTCTCCTACATACCACTGTGGAGCAGGCATCACTATAGAACAGTATCATTATAAACCCACAAAAATATAAAACAACACAGCACATGGACTATACATTTAAAATTAAATGTTCACCCTGAGATCCAGAGAGTCCACCTCTGTGCATGCTCTGATACCAATTCCTCTTTGTTAGTTTGGGGTTAGGCTCTACCAATCCACCATTACCCTATCCAATGAGAGAACTTCATTGATCAATAGGAGTGCTCCCATTGGACAGAGTTTGGCAAGTGGGTAGGGCTTATCCCCAGGGGTGGAACTTTGGAGTTGGGGAAGTGAAGTCCTAAATAACTAACTGGAAACTGGCTAAAAGGGTGCTCAGAGAAGGACAGCAGAGGTAATGGCATTCTGGAAGTTCTACCTTCACAAGCTCTATGACTATTCTGCTCAAAACCAAATATTTCCTACATCCTCACAGTCACCATTCAGCAGTCATATGCTATCCTGCCTGCAGGGGACATCTGACCTCTTTTACTCATCTGACACTTTACCTGCCCCTGACCTAAGTGGTCCCAGGAGTATGGAAGCCTCCTCCACCCAATTATGAGTATGGACGCCTCCTCCATCTAAACATGAGTATGATAGCCTTCTCACCTATGCATGAGTATGGAAGCCTTGAACATGAAATAATTAATTCAATATGAGTATGAAAGTTAACTTTGCCTAAATAGGATTATGGATGCCTTCCCAGCCTATGTATGAGTATGAAAGCCTCCTCACCTAAATATTAATATGAAAGTCATGCCTATCCAAATATGCGTATGAGAGCCTCCTCAACCTGTATATGAGTATGAAAGCTTCCCTCATCTTTATATGAGTATCAAAGCCCCCTCAACCTATGTATGAGTATGGATGCCTCCTCCTTCTAAATATAGGTATGAAAGCCTCCTTACCTATGTATGAGTATGGAAGCCTCCTCACCTAAATATAGGTATGAAAGCCTCCTCATATAAATATAGGTATGAAAGCCTCCTCACCTAAATATAGGTATGAAAGCCTACCCACCTATTTCTGAGTATGAAAGTCTTGTCCACCTAAATATAAGTATGGATGCCTGCTCAACTTGTATGTGAGTATCAAAGACTCCTTCACCTATGTACGGGTAGAAAATACAAGGGTTTTTGAGTAAGGGTGATTCCTTCCATGCTCATATGTTGGGCTTTGATCCAGAGGTTTTCATTCACATTACCTATAATTAATATAGAAATTGGATATTTCATCTTGTTTTGAGTATACCTTCAGCTTGTTGAATCTCCTCTGTAGAGCAACATGGAGCAGACTCTGGTAGGATCTCCAACTGCTCCCTACATGGTGGATTGTCTCCTCCAATCTCCTCTATATGACACAGATCCGACACAATGATCTCCTCTGCTCGGGGGATGTCTTTAGTTGGCATGTCCTGGCCCTGGTCACAGGCTCTGTCTGATTGACCTGCATCCAAATTTTTCTGCTCAATGTGGTCAGAATTCTCCTCCTGGACAAGCTCCTCACTATGTATGTGAAATGACTCTTGAAGACCTTCAGTGTGCCCTTCTGTCTCTTCTAGGTGGACCTCTTTTTCCATGGGTGGTGTGGTTTGGGTTTGTCTGTCCTCTGTCGACACTGGTAGGTCTTCATCATATGACATCTCTCTTTCTTCATCCGTCTGACACATGGTGTCCTCAGTTTGAGTGTGCTGCTCCTCAGTCTGGATCATTCTATCCTCATGGTGGGGCTCCATTTCTGAGCTGCCTGTGCATGTCATTTTTATATCTTCATTTGTATCAGTCTGGATTTCCGGAAATAAACATGATCTCTTTAGGTGTGACAGTTCATCTTGCTGCAGATCATGACTGACTTTCTCATCTCGGGGTCTTCCAATGTCATTTGTGGGTGATATTTCAGCTGCATGCATTTTTTCGTCATCAGAGATTGCCTGGAAGGCATCACCCAGTTCCCAGGTGTGCTCTTCCTCTGCAAAAAGGTCCATAGCAATGACTCCGGGCTCTATGGTGACCTTGGATGTCACAGTATGTCCAGTATCATCTTCTAGATGTCCTAGATGTGCTCCATCACCTTCATGAACCTGACTTATGATGCTGTTGGTGTCTGGTGGCCTGTATATGTCTTCAACAATAAACTCTTCAGAGTGTTTTATTATATTTTCATCTACAACTTGCTGGTCTTCCTTTAGTGGATCTTCCAGGAGATCCTCAGCATCTTCTGTTTTGGATATTTGCCCTCTTTCTTCTCTCTCTGTTCCATTGGATGTCTGGATTTCTGGATGACTACATTTTGCTGCTTTTTCCTCAGATCTCATCTTTTCCAAGTTGAGGATCTTTGGTGAATCTTGGGGTTCAGATTCCAGTAGTGGTGTGTGCTGGACCTCCTCAGTTTGTGCTTCATGAGTTTCGGGAATGTAAGTGGTGGTCTCTGCTGTGTTGTTGCTCAGATGCAGTTCAGCTTTTGAGCCATTTGGCACATTTCTATAATTCTGTATTTCTTCTTCAGGACTTGTATGTGTTGCTTTGGTCTCATTATACTGGGTGGATTGCGGAGTCTCCACTCTCATCTCCTCCTCACAATTGTCTGACCTCTCTTCCCTTTTGAGGGTATCTATAGGTTGTATTTTACCATCTCTTCTGGGTCCATCTTGTGTTATAATCTGGTTGCTGGACAGACTGAGCTGACATTCCCCAACTTCCACAGAGTTTATTGGAGCTCTTCGACTGTCTGGTCCATTTGTCCATCATCTGCTGGCTGATCTTCCGCTGCACTCTGTGCAGTGTTGGGCTCGGGGAGGATTTGTCTTTCTACTGCGTGTAGGCTCCATCCTGCCTCTTCTGCACTCTCCGCTTTGGTCATGCCTCTGCTCTGCTCTTCAGGTGCCTCGAAGGAGCCTCTCCCTGGAAGGGAGGAGCAGGGCACGGGGTTACCATTATATTCATCATCTGTTAGTACAGCATTATATTCAGTCCAGACTGTCTCCAGATGAGGGCAGTGCTCCTGGCAGTGCACATAAACTGGGCCCCCCATCAGCTCTGAACAGAACCCCCTGTACCATACTTGCTAACTAGTCCTCATTTTCAAGGACAACTGGAGAACAACCATCCCAAGACACAACCGTGCAAGGAAATTACTCTCTGATGTCCCTTGTCTACGATTTATTAATTGTGTCACAATTTCCTGCATATTGTACCCAGCAGTTCTCTCTTCAGCTATGACATATATGACAGAGCTCTAATTCCGATCCTGAGGATGGAAATTGTGGTGGAGAGGGTAGGCAGTGCATTCAGTGGTGTTATTTTATCATCTTATAAATTTATGATGACCATTAGACACAATTCCAGATAATTTTGTTGACCTAGGGACAATGTTCCTGATTCTATACAGTACTATACATGTATATATGTATCCATACAATCCTATACAGCAAGCGTTGCTGATTCTATACAATATGTGCCTTTCACTACGCAGGTATAACTCCACCCTTATCACCAATTACATTGTATTGTCCTAGAAGGAATGCAATACACAATATCCAATACCCTCCACTGTCAGCCATACCACACCAAGGAGTTTACTTTCCTAAACGTTGTAGGAGGGGCAGAAAAAAAAAAAATACTGGGGGGAAATCTCACCATTGTGGGAGGGGCTGAGACACAAAGTACTGGGGGGAAATCTTACCATTGTATGAGGGCTTGAGACACAAAGTACTGGGGCAAAATCTCACCTTTGTGGGAGGGGCTGAGACACAAAGTACTGGGGGGAAATCTCACCATTGTGGGGGGGCTGAGACACAAAGTACTGGGGGGAAATCTCACCATTGTGGGAGGGGATGAGACCCAAAGTACTGGGGGGAAATCTCACCATTGAGGGAGGGGCTAAGACACAAACTACTGCAGAGAAATCTCACCATTGTGGGAGGGGCAGAGACACAAACTACTGCAGGGAAATCTCACCATTGTGGGAGGGGCAGAGACACAAACTACTGCAGGGAAATCTCACCATTGTGGGAGGGGCAGAGACACAAACTACTGCAGGGAAATCTCACCATTGTGGGAGGGGCAGAGACACAAACTACTGCAGAGAAATCTCACCATTGTGGGGGGGCAGAGACACAAAACTACTAGGAGAAACCTCTCCATTCTGGGAGGGTTGAGATACAAACTACTGTAAAGAAATATTACCATTGTGGGGGGGCAGATACACAAATTACGGGGGGGACACCTCACGATTGTGGAGGAGGCAGAGACACAAACTGCTGCAGGGATGTCTCACCATTGTGGGAGGGGCAGAGACAAAACTACTGGGGAGAAATCTCATTAATATGGGAGGGGCAGAGACACAAACTACTGTGGAGAACATTCTGGATATCATCCTGCATCCATCCTACGGTCTCATCAGCCTTCTTCAGTAAAGAGTTCTGATTCAGTGCAGTAACTGATGGCAGCCAATCAGAACTCACTCTGCTAAAGTCTGACCAGTACAGGATCAATTGTAATTGGTTGCAGGTGGAAGCTCTTTATTGGATTTGTTAAGTATGATAAGTTCATTATTGATTGCCTTCTGGTACCTACCAGGCTTTTCCTCTTCTACACATGGAATGGTTATGGGCTCCTCGGGGGCGGTCTCTAAATCCTCCACACACAGATTGTCCTCTGCTGTGTCTGGTGGTAAGATGCAGACTGCAGGGAGAGAAGGATCTCGGTATTACCACGCATACAACAAACCACACATCTTCGCACATTCTGTTCTTCCAGTTTCACCATTTTTCAAGAGGCCACTCCCACTTCAAGCCACACCCATTCTACATCTGGCAATGAATATTTAGAAGGCCGAATCACATCACAGAATGCCTTCATGTAATCAGTAATGTATGTGTATACCCCTTCTATGTATTTATTAGGTCTCACAGAGATCACAGTACTCCCCTTGACAATGCAGTTATCTGCTTTAAGGCGGTAGTGACATGTGCAGGAGTGACGTCATCACGCCTCGGTCATTCAAATGGCCAGATCCTACGAAGATGGAAGCCCTGACAGTGGTGACAGCACACCGCTAGAGATCTTAGTTCTAGGGTAAGTCTGTCATAATGTTCTAGTATGGGCAATGTATTGCACATTACGACATTATCCTCTAGGGGCCCAATTTTATTTTTGCTGTTTTTTTTACTGCCACTGTAATGAGGAGGACAGCACAATCTTTGTTCAGACATCATCCAGGGTCACCAGCTACTTTCTGGACAGAGATAACACAGTCATGTAAATCCTTGTGCCTGTGCAGTTCTTAGCTATGTTAACAAATGACACAGATCAGCCCCTGCTACAGCCTCTCACCTCGTGACTTGCTACAAAGTTACAATGTACAGTCTGATCAGTGTGGGAGGGGAGATTGATGAAATGCTTCCTTCTACTTGCAGCAGACTGGCTACATAATGTCAACCTAGGTAAAGTCATTGGCTGGAGCTCAAGGAAGACTTTTTAATAGTAAAAGGTGGAACTTTTCTGAGAAATGATATTGTTACTAAATGTTGTAACATATCAGAAATTTAGAAACGTGGACATGTGAGGATATTGACAGGTACACTTTAATGAAGCAAATGATGTCTCCTAGATTGTAAGCTCCCAGGATCAGGCCCTCCTATCCCTCTTGTATTGAACTGTATTGTTGCTGTATTGTCTCCCGTTATATTGTAAAGTGCTGAGCAAACTGTTGGTGCTATATAAATCCTGTATAATAATAATAATAATGTATAAGAAACAGATATCAGAGTACTGGAAAATGTGATTGGCTGTGATGGTTTCCCACACATTTTTTATTTTGGGGTCAGTCTTGTACAGTGTCTGGCCCAGAGACCTGGAAATAAAAGGCATTGATACACATTATGTAATGTTATGTTGTCTAAATGACCAAACCCAGCATGAGGACTTCATGACATCACTCAATGTATTGGTGCAACATTGCCTTGCTGGAAATGATAGCAGAATTCACTGAGCTAGAACAGATGTTGTTTGACAAAATGATCTTTATTTTCTGTGCAGACTGGCTCTTCACACTGAGAAAGTAAATGGAGGCCAAAGTCCACACATTTGGGCAGCACCGTGGCTAAATGGTTAGCACTTCCGTCCGGCAGTACTAGGGTTGTTGGTTCGAATCCCAACCACGGCACCATCTGTCTGGAGTTTGCATGTTCTCCCTGTGCCTGCGTGGGTTTCCTCCGGGTACTCCGGTTTCCTCCCACACTCCAAAGACATGCTGGTAGGTTAATTGGATCCTGTTTATATTGGCCCTAGTATGTGTATATATGAATGTGAGTTAGGGACCTTAGACTGTACGCCCCTTGAGGGACTGATGTGAATGTACAATATATATATGAAAAGCGTAAATTGACGATGCTATATACCATAAGTACCTAAAATAAATTTAAAAAAATACATTTGAGGAGAACTGTGGAAAAGGGAGAGAACTATGGCACTGCGGGGGTGGGAATAGAACTGAACCTGCAGAGGAGGTGAGAGAACTGTGGCCCTGCAGAGGAGGTCAGAGAGCTGTGGTACTGCAGGGCTGGGGAGCGAGCTGTGACCCTGCAGGGGAGGGGAGAGAACTGTGACCCTGCAGTGGAGAGGACAGAACTGTGACCCTTCAATGGAGAGGACAGAACTGTGAGCCTGCAGTGGAGGGGAGAGAACTGTGACCCTGCAGTGGAGAGGACAGAACTGTGAGCCTGCAGTGGAGGGTAGAGAACTGTGACCCTGCAGGGGAGGGGAGAGAACTGTGACCCTGCAGTGGAGGGGAGAGAACTGTGACCCTGCAGGGGAGGGGAGAGAACTGTGAGCCTGCAGGGGAGGGGAGAGAACTGTGATACTGCAGGGGAGGCAAGAGAACTGTGAGCCTGCAGTGGAGGGTAGAGAACTGTGACCCTGCAGGGGAGGGGAGAGAACTGTGACCCTGCAGGGGAGGGGAGAGAACTGTGACCCTGCAGGGGCAGGGGAGGGGGGAGAGAACTGTGAGCCTGCAGGGGAGGGGAGAGAACTGTGATACTGCAGGGGAGGCAAGAGAACTGTGAGCCTGCAGTGGAGAGGACAGAACTGTGAGCCTGCAGTGGAGAGGACAGAACTGTGAGCCTGCAGTGGAGGGGAGAGAACTGTGACCCTGCAGTGGAGGGGAGAGAACTGTGACCCTGCAGCAGAAAGGGAGAGAACTGTGATACTGCAGGGGAGGCAAGAGAACCATGAGACTGCAGGGGAGGGGAGAGAATTGTGGCAGGGGAGGGGAGACTGAGACAATGGAGAGGGAGAAAACTGTGGCACTGCAGGGGAGGGGAGAGAACAGTGACACTGCAGAGGAGAGGGGGGGGGAGTGTGATACTGCAGGGGAGGGTGAATATTATGACACTGTAGGGGAGGGAAGGAAACTACAAGACTGCATGGGAGGGGAGACAACTGTGACTCTGCAGGGGTGGGGAGAGAACTGTGGCACTGCAGGGGAGGGGAGAGCCTAGGGGGTGGAGGTGTCACTTTCATCCACACAGCACATACACCGCTCACTTCGCATGGGTGGAGCCTCTAGAATAAAGAGGAGGACTTTCATGGGTGGACATGGCTTTTTCATGTCTTATTAGTACTCCTATAATTACAGCAAACAATGGAATACAACAATGTGATTGGTTACATCGGGTGTGCTCAGAAGGTGGCAGGCTGCAGAGGGGTGCACTGATTGGGCAGGCCCAATACAGGCAGGACACACACTACACCACTAGGGGTCCTGAGCTCCTTGTGGGCAGTCCCACAGTCAAAGCCTTTTTTGTTATTTGTATGAGATGTGTAACCCACAATCAATCAGAACTCATCTTTCACAGCTCCCACTGATTGGTTACTCACTGCATTGACCATCATTCACCAATCAGAACAGAAATCACACCGATTCTGGTTTTCTCATTTTATTCCAGTCTCCCCCCATGAATACTGACATTAAATACATCACAATCTCGGTCTGGGTCCTGCCAGTCGTTTAATAAATGGAAAGTTCTGGTGGTATGTTGGTCACTGCACATATATTAATAGATTGCTGCTGTTAATCGTCTGGCTACTGATCGCTATGACTTCAGTTACAAGGGATGTCCACGGTTAAACCCGCTACTAGGCGCTACAAGCCTCCACAATCCACTGGATGGCCGTCATCAGTCTGAGAATGAACTGCATTCTCCATCTTGGTCATTGGACTGGATGGTGAGGTGGACGGAGCGGATGGAGAGGCTGCCGGTCTTCTGTTTTCCATTGTTTCAGGGGTCGTTTACACCCCACTCCCCTCTGAAACAAAGGAGAAGAGAAAATAATTAATATTGACCAGACTAACCCACACTGAGCGCCATCCATCATCGTACCCCAGAGAAAAGCCAAAGGTGGAAGATCTGACCACCAAAGTGATTGTCTCTGCACACTGAATTACATGGGGGGGGGAATTGATCATCCAGAATATACAGTATCAATTATTTTGGAATGATTGCTACCAGTTCACAATGATAAGGTACAGCCAGAGAAGTCTGTCCTAAGGATAGACATTCCCGTAACTGTGCACCATCTAATGCAAGATCTTTCACGGATCAGACCTTCCAACCATCATCCAATGTCTATGGTAAGGATTCTACCGTGTTGAGGCATCAGGCCTGGTGTGTGGGAGCTGTGAACCCATCTGACTCTCGACGTGCATTTTACATGAGCAGAGCTCACAACTGGCATTAAAGGTTTCTTATGTCTGTCAATAAGAGATTGCCACTGCCAGGCAGGTTCAGTGAAAGTCTTATGAGGATCCGTGAGGTGCAGGAATGGAATTCCACCATGGATGAAGTCACGTGACAGGTGGTGACCACATAAGGAGAAATTTGATCAGAATACCCCAATCTCTACCTGACACCGACAGGCCGTACAGATCTTGTCTGACCCACATTTACAGCACCTGAGCCTCACTAATCTAATTACAGAAAACATCCATAATGCAT